CTCTTCTTCGTACTGAGGCGTCACACGTTTTGTCTCACTGAATATACGCTGAGCAGCTTATAAATGCACCATTATGGTCCTTTAACCTGCTGGAAGCTTTAACTTTTAGATAAAACGGACTGTAGAGGCATTGTCACATAATATATAGTAAGCAGAGATACAGCCATGAGTTGTAGTGTGAGTAAAATAACTGAACTTTTCATCACCAAACTAAAGTGGCTTACTGCATTTGATTCAAGTGCTCATAATTGGTGTTCAGTAGAAATGAGTTCCGCCCACTTCAAACTAGTGAGACTCTCACAGCTGAAGCAGTGATCTGTGTCTATATGTGCAATCCTACCAATGAGATTAAAGCTGACATTTGAACTTTTAGTATCAAATCAAATCAAATCACTTTTATTGTCACATCACATGTGCAGGTACATTGGTACAGCACATGTGAGTGAAATTCTTGTGTGCGAGCTTCACAAGCAACAGAGTTGTGCAAAATACAATAATGTAAACAAGCAAAATACAAGAATGGCTACATCTGAAACTAATAAATATATGTACAATATATAATAGTATATGCATTTCTGGATGTGTATACTAAATATTTTTCTACGTGTGTGTGTGTGTGTGTGTGTGTGTACACATATTTTACAAATTAAATAGAGTAAACAATAAATAAAATATATAAAAATATACAGAGTTGAGACATGTGCAAAACAGTGGCATTACTGTACAGTATGGAGTGCATAATGTTAAGTTCCAGTAGTGAAGCTGAGGTGTCTATGACGTGTTCAGCAGTCTGATGGCCTGGTGGAAGAAGCTGTCTCTCAGTCTGCTGGTACGGGACCGGATGCTGCAGAACCTCCTTCCTGATGGAAGCAGTCTGAACAGTTTATGGCTGGGGTGACTGGAGTCCTTGATGATCCTCCCCGCTTTCCTCAGGCACCGCTTCCTGTAGATGTCTTGGAGGGAGGGAAGCTCACCTCCAATTATCCGTTCAGAGCACCGCACTACTCGCTGGAGAGCTTTGCAGTTGTAGGCGGTGCTGTTGCCATACCAGGTGGTGATGCATCCAGTGAGGATGCTCTCAATGGCACAGTGATAGAAGGTCCTGAGGATGCGGGGGCTCATGCCGAATCTTTTCAGTCTCCTGAGAAAGAAGAGGCGCTGCTGCGCCTTCTTCACTGTTTTGTTTGTGTGTACTGACCACGTAAGATCCTCAGCCAGATGTACACCAAGGAACCGGAAGCTGCTCACTCTCTCCACAGCAGCGCCGTTGATGGTGATGGGGGTGTGTACTTCTCTGCACCTCCGGAAGTCCACTATCAACTCCTTTGTCTTTGCGACGTTGAGGGTGAGATGGTTGTCTTGACACCAGTGGGTCAGGGCGCTGACCTCCTCCCTGTAAGCCGTCTCATCACCATTGGTGATAAGACCCACCACTGTAGTGTCGTCCGCAAACTTCACAATGATGTTGGAGTTGTTAGTGGCTGTGCAGTCGTAGGTGTAGAGTGAGTACAGGAGAGGGCTCAGTACACACCCCTGTGGAGCACCAGTGTTCAGTGTGATGGGGGATGAGGTGATGCTGCCCAGTCTGACCACTTGGCGTCTGTCAGACAGGAAGCTAAGGATCCAGCTGCAGAGGGAGCTGCTCAGTCCTAGATCCTGCAGTTTCCTGTCCAGCTTCGAGGGAACGATGGTATTGAATGCTGAGCTGTTGACCATTCTGGCTTTAAAATATCCACCAGGATCAGAAAGCTAAAAAGGTTCTCTGTTCACTGTACTCGCTTGATGTTTGTCTTCCTCACAGGTCCCTGACAGCTATCACTACAGGCGACGTGTTCATCTATACGACACGGCCGCACGGGTTCAAAGTGAACCTCGCGGTGTGGACACATCGGACCTCGGAGTCAAAGAAGATGAGTGGCTCACTGATGAAGCAGCAGCCACGCTACTGGGCTATGCAGAGGAAGAGGTCATGGGTCACAAGGTATAACATGCTCAAGCACACAAGCAGTTCAGGAAAAAAAGTGGAAAGTCTGAAAACCTTTATATGGTTTATAGTTGATCGGGTATTGCAACTGACTGGTTTCCCTCCCTGCAGATCAGCGAGTCGAAAGCATACGACGGGCTCTACATTGACGTGGGAACGCAGACATATTCGTTTCGCTCAGCTCCTTTCAAAGGGAAGACCACCCTGGCTGAGGTGATGGTGGACAGACCACTGAAGCTTCACCTGCAGCTGCAAGCGGAGAGTGTGAACAGCAGACACAACAGAGCCAGCTGTGTCTTCACCTTCCTCTGCGGTCACACCTTCCACCGACGAGAGTTCGCCACACATGTCAGGTGTCTGTGCAAAATCTGCCCTCAGCATTAAAGTAATAAGTGTTAAGCTCTCACTGGAAGCAACTGTGGATGAGCGCATTTTTGTCTTTTTATTTTTAGACACAACCTGCAAAAAACAAAAAAAATGTGTATGAATGGCCCTGGTTGTGTGCTATGAATGTATAAACTGCCATGTTCTTTTTCCAGGAATGTGCACTGTGACATCCACACATGTCTGAGCGGTTGGTTCGAGCAGCGGTGTCCACTCGCTTATCTGGGGTGCACCTATAGTCAGAGGAGGTTTCATCCTTCCACACATAAAGCTACCGTCACATACAAGTGAGCACAACTCATATGAATCCACAAGGATTCATTTGTTAATGAAAATAGTCTCTTAATGTCTTAAACATTGAGTACAGTGAGCGCAGCAAAGGGAAGATTTTATTGCATATGCTCCTCCTTTATTTTAGTTTTAACTCCACCCACTCTCCTTTTTCCCCCCCGTACAGTAAGGAGCTGAGGAGTTTTAACTTGCGTCCAACATTCGAAGGATTAGTAGGTGACAATTCACCCACGAGCTCAGAAGGAAGAGGGGGCTCTTTGAGCTCTCTTCCCTACGAGGTGCTGTGCCACATGGCCAGTTTCCTGGACAGCCTGTCCCTCTTCCAGCTGGCTCTGGTGTCCCGCCTCATGAGGCAGGTGTGCTCCACTCTGCTGAAGGAGAGAGGGATGGTCACCTTCCGCTGGGAGAAGAAAACCTACTCACACGGGAGAACCAAGTGGAGAGCCAAGCTTGTGAGATATAGAAACAAAGCCAGCTAGTTCATCACATACTATGGCAATTATTCCTCCTTTGGTCTTCTCCTGACTCTGTTTTGGTTTCTCTTCAGGTGTGGGAGTTCAGTCATCTCTTCTCCTCAGTGGATTCGTGGCATATGGCTGACATCCCTCCTATATCTGCTCACCTGAAAGTCTGTCCCTACTACGAGGTCTCCCTGCACAGTAAGCCGGTTTCCCTCCCCAGCATGGACGAGAAATGCAGCCAGAAGAGTTCGAGCCTTGTCAACCATTTCACAGGAAACAGATGACAACAATTCCCCTGCTGCACCTGCCCCAAAAAATGTATTTATGGCCAGGTTATTCTGCACAGATATCAAGAGTGTCTTCTATAACCATTATGTTGCAAAACTCTACAGAAAAAAAGTTACCTAAACTTAACAGAGGCTTTTGGCTTACTGGAAAATAACATGTTCTAAGTATTATCATTAATCAGACTTTTAGCTGATGATATTTGTATTGTGTGGGATTAAGACGATTATAACAGAATAAAAACTGTTAATGTTAAATAGAAAATAAGTTCATACTTTCATTTATAAATATACTATATGTTTATTAGAAGTGTTGATCAATCATATTTTAGTCATTTTAAACAAAACAGCTGAACTGGTTCAAGGCTTTTTTGTTTTTATTTGTCAGAAAAGATATTAAAATTAACACCTTTGTGGTTTTTTACAAAGATTATATGCAGAACCGTAGGACCTAAAGCTGGATAAACATGATGAGGTATACCATTGAGATATAAGAAAGAGTTGTTGAAGCTTGGTTAAGAGGAGAGACTGAGCAGCCAAAAGAAGAAGATCATTGTGGTTCATCTTGGTCTGTGAAAATGACAACGCACATAATAAATGCTTTCTTTGGACAACTTCTTTAAATGTGTGACTGATTGTGGACTTAAATTTTATTTCAGTTTTTGTATATGTAATATTCATATAACTGCTACCTCCTTTTAATTTCAGAGGCAAACATTGACTTAGCTAAAGCAACAATTACTGGTTACTTCTCTTTGTCAGACAAAACATCACCTGCCAAAGCAAATGCTGTTTTTTGTTTTGTATTTTAGATCATTTTTGAAAGATTCAGAGCTACACAAAAGGAAAGTATTCTGAATCTGCACGAATGAGAAACTTTACAGTAATTTTAAACAGAATATATATTTTCCATGTTTTTTTGGTCCAAGCTTTTAAAAGAGATATAATTATTTTCATTCAGTTCGGGATGTTGTCCACATCAAAGGAACAGATCAGAAAATCTTTCTTTGCCAACACTTCACAAAACATATTACAAATTTTCATTTTAATTTCCTTGTCATTGAAAATAAGGTCTTACAAAAAACAAAAGTACACCAGCCCATTCAGTCTCTTGTAGAAGCTCCATACCAGCAATAACTTGAAGTAATCTTTTCCTGTATGACTTCATCCGTCTCTCACATCATTTTTGGAGGAATGTTGACATCTGCTTTTACAGAGGTCCTCCCACCTGCCGATGATCAGTTAATCAGCACCTTTTTTGCTGTTCACATGATGGTGTATTTACCTAATGTATCTAATTTTAAGGTAAGAACCATATTTATTTCTAACAAAGAATAAAAAGGGCATACTTTCTTTTTACCATAACTGTAAATTAAATAAGGTAAATTGATTAAATGAGTAAAATAAATAAATTTTACTGGATATGTAAGACAATAAAAACAGAACATAGAAGAAATAATCTAATACAGAAAATGCTGCTGATTGGAATTTTTTGTGAAACAGTTTTTTCTATCCTTGTATGAAGCACGGGTTGCTGTCATATAAGCAAAATACACTTCTGACTCTGTTCACGTTGCAGTAAAGATGAACTGTTGTGGGCTTATTGGTGAATTTTGAGGCATTTAGAGCGGGTTAGATTTCAGGAAGCTCCTCCTCCTCCTCCTGGTGCTGCTCCGTGGCACCGACAACCTCACACTCCGTGGTGCTTTTGTTGTGAATACATCACCGCGCTGCACGTAGCCAATAACCAGAAGGTTACGAGGAGGTTGTTTCGACTCAGCCTGCAGTAGGATTCATTCATTCCCGGAGAGCGAATCGTGTCGTCCCGGAGAAGAAAACAAGCGAGCGCTTTTGCAGACTGATCGCTTTGCACGGGCCTTTTGTTTTCTGCGTTTCTGCTCCATCAGGGACGGGAAATAAAGAGCCAAATCTATACGGAGATCCATGACACACGCTTTGGAGAGGATATCGCTTCAGTATCACGGTAGGCCACAGCCAGTGATGGAGATAAATGAGAGACTGAGTAAACGTGCAGAAATGAGAAAGCTCATAAAACTGATAATATTAAATAAGAGCAGGCTACTGTCAAATCACCCTAGAAGCAGATGCATAGAAATGCATTAAAAACCCTTAAATGATGTAGAAAAGCATTGTAATATAACACCAGTTATGCTATATTGCATGAAGACAAATGCATAATTACTAATAGATATCATTGAGTGATATAATCTTATTTTAAGTGTTCGCTTGCAAGTATTACTCAATGCCAGCATTGAAACTGCGACACTAATATAAACAGCTGTGGTAATAAATCTTGCAGCCAATCCAAAGACAAACCAGCCATCAACATCTGTGCACAGGTTCTGCAGGGGTTCGGCCATGGATGCCGGGAGGCTCGAGCAGCAGGTGGCCAGTGTGGAGAGAGGCATCACCTTCCTGAAGCAGGAGCACCTGGCCATGCTGACTGGCCTGCAGCTGGAGATCACACACCTGAAGAGGCGCTGTCACGGTCAGTGTACAGGTGAACTGCTCTTGCCATCTCATTATGTACTTACTTGTCTTATATTTGTCTGTCCGCCAGCCTGTTGTACTACTTCCTTTCTTGCCTGCAGAGCTGAGCTGTGAGCTGGACTCCAGGTTTCCCGACAGAAACACAGCAGGTGAGAAATTACAAACCCTTGCTGAGCAAGGGAAAAATGATATATGAGAGACGCTGAAACTTTATATCATAGCTGTAGAGATCTAAAAAAGAAAAGATGGGCAGAGGACAACTGAGAATTAACAGGGTTACACTGACAGGGCAAGCTTGCTAATATTTATAAAATCTATATTTATTGTAAATTGTCACAAAGCAGAGCTACAAGTCGATAATAGATTTTAAATACCGTGATTTAAAATCTTGTTTTTCAGTTATCAGCTGGATTAGCTGCTGTCATAGTTAAAAATGAGCCTAGGGAAATAAAAAGTTATGTCTTTAGATCCCAGTGTTGACTTATTTGTAGCAGTACATGATGATATTGGTTTGTTGTTAGCATTTTGAGTTGCATATTTAAAATATATCAAATAAAGTTATCAAAATGACGTGAGATTATAAAGTTTTGTGACTCTTCTAAAAAAATAATTAAAGATCCTAGCTCACTGAAATTTAGCCCTTACTTTGTAGATATACCTCTTAGGTAGCACTCTGCTTCCAGTGTGTCTGCCACTATATAGTACTGTAGTATAATACTGACAAATTAGACTCATGTCTCTCTTGATTTGATTCTTGATGTGGTCAAAACAGCTACCCTTAATCTTTCATTTCATTTGGGAGAGGGAGACAAAGTAGAAAGTTTGGGCGATAAGTGGTAGTTCTGCTGATGTAGCATGTTTTTAATGCATGGTGTTCCCCAGTCATGATTCTGACCTGATGTGTCGCCTTTGACAATGTAGACATTCCCACTAACAACCCCAGTTTGGTTTTCAAATCATAGTCAAGACATTCAGCCTCATAATTCTGGCTGCATGTTTGACCACGCTTCTTGGCAGAATTGGTTTCCTGGCACAGACCCACAAATTTTCAATAGTGTTGAGGCTGGGACTTCAGAAGCTTAATGTTAGCCTGCTTTTCCAGATATCCAAATTCAGATTTGATGTGTTTGTAATCATCATCCTGTGGGAACACTCAATCACTCATTATTCCATTCTAATGTACCGGTATCACAGCAAACAGCCCCAGAGCATGATGCTACCACCACCATGCTTCACATTTGCTATACTGTTCTTAGGTTTGAAATCCTCACCTTTACTCCTGCGAACACACCTCTATTCATTGTGGCGAAACAGCTCAATCTTTGTCTCGTCTGACCATCACATTTTCCCCAGAAGGCGTTTGGCTCGTCTCTGTGGGCCTCGACCTTGAAGGTGTGCTTCTTTCTTGGTTGAAATCCTCCCAGTCCTTGGTGATATAAAACTCACTTCACTGTGGACAGTGATGCTGGTATTCCAGCAGTTTCCAGTTCATGGGAGGCTTGAGCCTTGCTGGTTCCTGATTATTCTTCGGTGGTGGTTCGATCCCAGGCTGCCTCCTGACTGCATGCCAAATATCCTTGGGCAAGATACTAACCCCATGTTTGCCTACTGTTGGTGGTCAGAGGGCCCGGTGGCGCCAGTGTCCGGCAGCCTCGCCTCTGTCAGTGCGCCCCAGGGCAGCTGTGGCTACAATGTAGCTGCCATTGCTAGTGTGTGAATGTGTGTGAATGGGTGAATGACTGAATGTAGTGTGAAGCGCTTTGGGGTCCTTAGGGACTAGAAAAGCGCTATACAAATGCAGGCCATTTATCATTCTTGAACAACCTAACCAGTTTCCACTAATCTGAGGGTGACAGTGTGGGTTCTCTGAAAAAGCTGTACTTACAGTTGGTTGAACTGATGTTGGAATGTGCAGATGTTTAGAACTGGCTCCAAGAGGCATTCCTGACATGTGTAAATCTGTAATTCACCTTCTTAGATCGATCTTAATCGAGTCCTTGGACTCAACTGAGGTGCTGAGTGCTGTCAAACAAATCCTTTTTATGTTGGCAAAGAGAAACTAAGAGTTACAGTTACTACACAGTGCTGGAAATGGTCCCTAATGCACAATAATGCATGCAGGTGGAGATCTGCCAAACTGAAGGTTTTGGAACTTTGTGATTGTACCCTGTACCGTAAGCTCTGATGCAAAATGTGATCGATTTTTTTTTAAATTATTGGGCCAGGTTTCACTGACTGATAAGCAAAAGTAGACAGAAAGACACAGTGAAAAGTGAAATTCATGCAGAATAAGATAAGAATGAATGGTTAAGTAGATGAATCAACAGATATTAAGCACAGAAAAACAGACCAAAGTCTGGCACTAGAAGGTAAACAGTGAACCCCTCATAATTTGTAGTGTATCTCATAGCTTTAGTATCCACTGAACCTGCATTTCTGTGTGTTTGTGTTTTCATATATGCTTCACAGAGGAGGAGGCAGAGCTGGCGGCACGTTGTGATGCTGCAGAGCGACTTCTACAGGACCAGCACTGCATGATGGTCGCTGCACGGGGGGAACTGCGGGCCAGCCGGGCACGGGCATCGGCACTCGGGAGGAGCCTCAGAGAAGAAGAGCGACGTTTCTTAGAGGAGCTGAAACGTCGAAGCCACAAGATCACACTGCTGAGTCGTGAGCTTCAGCGGCAAAATGTCACGACCACGACCCTCTGTCACGAGCTGCACACTGCGCGGTTAAAACTGTTCCAGCAGCAGCAGAGCAGTGGGTCTGCTCCTGAGGGAGAGGAGGAGGCCAGAGGAAAGGAGCAGGAGGAGGAGGAAGAGGAAGAAGAGGAGGATGAAGATGATGAAGATGGTGAAGGGGAGAGCTCAGACTGGCTACTGTCTCCACCTCCTCCTGTCTCTCCCAGCCAATCAGAGGCAAGGCAGAGGATGCGCATCAGCGTAAGAGAGGAGAGGGTCAGGGCTTGCGTCCCACAGGAGAGAGTGACATCACCACAGCAGCCACACCCCATGCCTGACCCCGCCCTCTTCCTGGTGCCACTTAGGTACCGCCTCCTCCGCATGCACCAGCCAGTCAGATCACAGGATGGAGAAGGGCTGGAGGACGAATGGGAGGATATTGATGACAGCAGGGTGCCCAGGAGGGTGGACATGGGAGCAGGGGAGGGAGAAACTGCTCTGTGATGAAGACAGGGAGGTGGCGTTGTCTTCCAACAGGTCTCAGCTAACGTCTTGATGCAGTTATACTAGAAAAAGATCCAGATGAGAGCGATGTAACCTTGTGATTGTGTGTAGATTTTGGGAGGTTAGAGTTAAGTTGTGCAGGAGTGCGTGATCCAACCTACACGTAGATGTTATTAGGTGAATTTGTTACATTGATGGTGCAGCTTATAGTCTGAAAGTGTGAAGAAATAGGGCAAAAAAAGCAACGAAGATTAATGGCTTCATATGGATGCCTTTTGATTTAAACACTGTTGATCACAGCTTTTTTCCTATAATTAGTAGCCTTGCCTCTGGGTTCATGAACGCTGACATCGTGCCGATAAAGTGGCTGTCTGCTTTCTCACTGCACAAGCTGTACTGCAGGTTTGGAGAGTCACTCTGAAAGGCTTAGGGACATTTTGTAATCATTCGCACTTTATTAAATCCATGCAATGTGCCTGTTAATGGCCGAAAATTATGTGGTCATGTTTTTTGTTCTATAGTTGACTTCTTAGGCTGCCTCTAATAACATTAGCGAGTTCTCTGCCCTAGTCAAGTCTCCCACTAAGCTGTAATAATTTATTTTATATTCATTACATGTTTCCTTAGAAGATTCTTTCAGGACACAAAGGTAGGGGGAAAGTGCATCATCCAAATCTTTATTCCAGGCTTAGGTCATACATAAGTAGGCAAAAGAAATGCTGATAAAATAGATAGAAAGGTCAAATGCAAACACAGAAAACACAAGGATCTTAAAATTGAGGTGAATAGCTCAATCTATTCCAATGATGACCTGGCATTAATCACTCTAGTGAAAGTGATTAAGTTATTGGATGTAGAAACAGCAAAAAATTGGCAAATGGGTTGGTGTTCAAATAGCACCCTTCTTCTCAGTTGAACATTCAAAACATTTCCTAGTACTACGTCTCATTCACCCAATCACACACACATTCATACAGTGTATGGTGCATTCATATTATGTATGCATAGGTACTTTGTGACATTCCGGTAGATGCATCAGAAGCAACTTGTAGGTCTAGTATCTTCCCTAAGGATTCTTTGGCATGGAGGAGTCAAGAATCGATCCAACAACCTTTTGAGTAGTAGATGACTCACTCCATATCCTCACAGATGCCCAAAATGGAAGCAAAACTAACCCGGGTGTAAAAATAAATTATAAAACAGTAACCCCACTCCACCCCCATATTTCATATTCATATTTGGGGCATATTTGGGCAACACGGTTGTTAGCATTGTTGTCGCACAGCAAGAAGGTCCTGAGTTCAATTCCTCCATCAGGCTGGAGTCTCTCTGTGTGGAGTTTGCATGTTCTCCTCGTGTTTACGTGAGTTCTCTCTGGGTACTCTCCAGCTTTCTCTCACAGTGGGGATAGGTTAATTGGTCAATCTAAATTGCCCATAGGCGTGAATGCGGGAGTGAGTGTGAGTGCGAATGGCCTTCTGTCTCTGTGTGTTAGCCCTGCAACCTGTCCAGGGTGTGGGATAGGCTCCAGCGCCCTCCACAACCCTGAAAAGGATAAACGGAAGCGAATGGATGGATGGGAGAAATATTCAAACAGTTAATAGTTAATACACTATAATTTAGCAGGTATAAGGGTATTTTACGTTTTTATTAGTCAACAGTTAACTTCTCCTGCTGCACTGCTATAATTGTGTTCTTTATAATTTGATTATAAGTTAAATTATAAATAGTGGAATTTAAACTGAAGTAAGCTTTTATTTCAAATTACAGCACTGGGTGGCAGTATAGCCCAGTCTTCAGAGGGATTATTATAAGGGTAAGTCTTTGAGCCCTGCTATAGGTGTCATAGGGATATAATCTTACACATGAAGAGTCGCTTCCGCATGTCCGCTGTAAAGGCATTATCGTATTAGCTACCTTATTAGGTAGGAAAAACATAGGAAATGGTATTGTAGCTAGTAGCATTTTTTTTAAATGTGCTCTATCATACACACAAACACCTACATAGTTGGATTTTCTGGGCTTGAAAAATTAAAGCAGAGAGAGCATTCAGGGTCCAGACAAGTCTGAGGAGGAAAACTGTGAAGACTCATAGTCCAGTTTTCAGAAATTAGTCCTTCATCTGATTCTGGAAAACTGGGACTCTACACCTTCATATATGCACATTTTAACCTGGTAAAACAAGGTGAAGGACACATAAGAGACCAAGACCGCTGAACCATGAACCATTACTTTCTAGTGAAGCTGGCAGTTTAAATAAAATTAAATTTTGACATGAGTAATATACGCACAAATATACACACATATATGTATATACATATATATACAATGTATTAAAAAGAAAACAAAATATAAATAAGATATAGCGAGAAATTAGGTTTACAAAAATCACTCATTAAAACCCAAACATGGTTCTGTCAGTTTGTCAGTCGACACTTGTCTCCTAGCAAACGTCCCATTCTAGAACGTTCCCACAGTTGTCTTGGTGACTGTGCTCAGAATGCAAATGTACCGCTGCAGCGCTTCCATGGCAACCAGAGAGCTGCTTTCAGACTGATGCCTGAGTTTTCAGCGCACCTACTGGAGCCTCATTTCCAGCACTGAGTGTCTGAGGAGGTGTTTGCTGTGTCATGTTTACATCTCACACAATGTGAAAAGGCGCCAGCCCTCGTCCCAGTCCTCCTCCTCTTCCTCCTCCTTCTCCTGCTGATGCTATTTATATACATTGCACGTGCTCACACGTTCAAGATTGATAGAGAAAGCATGGGCCGATCTGAATACAGGAAGTTGCATCATGAGCGGCAGAAAGGTTGCCCTCTTCTGGACTTGGACGGGTACTGTGTGTTTGAGCAGAGGGCCTGCCACAGCTCCTCTCCTCCCCTTGAAGGGCAGACACACACATAGTTTGTGTAATGTGGTTTCGCTGTAAGGACTGGGGAGCCTCCTGCTCTGGAGGAAAGCCTGAGGAAACTTACGTTTCTGATTCCATGAGGAGCAGGAGAATCTGGAGAAGATGAAACAGACTGACAGACTCAGTCTTTCTACACTGGATGGTAGGGTTGTAGATTTGCTACACTAATCTGTAATGAACTGATGTGATTTTCTCTGTTTTGAGACATGTGCGCTCATTTTCTGCTGTGCTTGTGTTCTCATGAGGTCAAAATAAGGTGTACTACATGTTACATATAAAATCATAACTCTGTCCATTTCAGATCTTCTGCTGTTTTACTTTGGCTCTTTTGAAGCTTTTTAGAGGATATTTTTCTCCTTCTCATCTGTTTTCTTCCTCATTCCAGGATTTTTACACATCCAACATCACTGCTGAGTTCGCCTGATCAGAATTTGTCTCTGAGGTTTTCCAGGCCCTTCCACTGTAAGGTGACACCTCTGCAGGAATACTTCATGATTGTCCTGTCATCAGCTGTCGTCTAAGGCTCTAAGCTGCTTGCATTTACACATGACACACACACGCACGCTTGTGGCAGTGTCAAAACTAGAACTCAGTTACGGCTTAGACGCTCACACCAGACTGAAAGTGCGTGCTTCTGAGTTTTGAGTAAGTAAATGGGTTTGCACCTGTAGCCATACCTCGCAGTGATGTCTACTAACCTCAGCCAGAAGTACGACTGTACATCACAGGTGCAAGCTGAGAAGTTAAAACGTGATTCTAAAATATAATTAGTTTTTTTTTGTTTGTGTGTTTGCTTTGGGTAGCATAAGACAGCGTTATCAAATGTGCAGTCAGGAATTTGTACTGTGGGGGGAAACAGTTATCTGATCCAATCCTAAATTTGTAAGTTTGCTCCCTTGTAATGAAATCATCAGACTCTCGTTTTATGGTAGTTTCAATCTAATAGAGAGAGACAGAATATCAACCAAAAATCCAGAAGAAGGACATTATAAAAAAGTTCTAAATTGTTTTAAATGTCATTGATCGAAATAGGTTTTTCATTCCCAAGCAAAACATGACTTTGTACTTTTGCTTGTTAGCAAGCACAGGCAAAAGACGTTTCTTGTAGATGGTCACTAGGTTTGCACACATCCTAGAAGGGAATTTGACCCACTCCTCTTTACAGAAACTGTGAAAATTTTCAGGCTGCCCCCCTCAGATTTTTTACAGGGTGAGGTCTAGAAGTCTGGAGATCAGCTATGCTACTCCATTACCTTGAAGTATTTCTTCTTTAGCCCCTCCTTTGTTGCCATGGTGGCATGTTTTGGGTAGCTGTCATGGTGAAAGAGCCATCCTATGAGACACCTTCAGGGCTCTGGCTGAAAGAAGGATGTTCTCATTAGGGGTTGGCGATATAAACGATATACGATAGAAACGATTTGGCCAACGATAGAGATTTGACTATACCGCTCTATCGCGATAGCGCATGTTGATGATGTCATCAAGCATGGCAGTGGCTACAACCATTATCATCTGCAAATTATGCCGAGAGTCATAGCAAAGAGATGAAGCACTTTTGAAATATGGGGAAAGCCAAAAACTGCGCTTCCTCCACTTCCGTAACATTGATTCATTAATGTTGAATTCTCTTGCAGCTGCTCTATGTTGCAGTATATTAATAACTAACCTTGTGTTGTGGATGAATGATCTCAGTTGTTCTCCTGACTGAAGTTTGGCCCGTGTATAGCATCCTGCTATGCGATTGCATTAGTCCCTAACCACCAGAATCCCTCACGTTAACTTTTATCGAGTGGAAAAAAGTTGGCGTTCGTCCTCCAGCTTCACTGTGCTAATGTTTTGCTAACATAGCTGTGTTGTTAGCAATCACGTAGCACAACATTATATACCAGGTAGTCCAACTTCAGTAACCCTGCAAACTTGACTGCTGTTTAGTTTTCTGTCTTCATTATTTTTGAAGTGGTAGGTGGAAACTAGCAAGTTAACTTCCTGTTAACTTCTAACTCTGTTAAATTTAATAACTTCTGTTTTCATGGATGCCTGGATGTTAAACTTAATTGTTACACCTGGTAAAGCAGCAACGCTGATGATTTTATTTAAGATTAAAGAATTTAAACCATTTTTAACTCTCAGTGTTCGTTTGACTTTGGGACCTGAAGGACCGGAGTATGGGCTCAAAATGTGGTCATAAATATTTTGTACTTGGAAATCGGTTTTGTATGTCTAAAAATATTTGTGTGTGTGTAAAAAAGATTTGTATGTGTAAAAAAAATTTGTGTGTGCGTAAAAAAGATTTGTATGTCTAAAAAAAATTTGTGTGTGCGTAAAAAAGATTTGTATGTGTAAAAAAGATTTGTATGTGTAAAAAAGATTTGTGCGTGCGTAAAAAAGATTTGTATGTGTAAAAAAGATTTGTGTGTGGACTTAGCCAAAAAAGACCCTGCAAGTTACAAGTACGAATTTTGACCTTATTTTTCTTCCTTTCATCTGATTGGTCAATGTCATGTCAATCACAAATGTAACAATCCAATCAGAGAACAGATGGGTTAAGCTGTCGGAGGGGCGCTTTTTTTGAACTGCAGGTCTTTGAAGGGTATAAATGCCCTTTTACATGCCAACCCAGCGTTTTCCTTCATCACCACGAAGGAAAACAGTCTGTGGTCGTCTGAGTTTGGTGATTTTTGTGTCACAGGTCTACGTGTTTAATACAGGGACTTCCACAGCCTTTTCAACAGCGCTGCAGTGTTTTGGAAATGACAGTCTTCATCACAAAGCTTTCTTTGTTATGAATTAGCATACATGTTTTTATTGAACATTTGAAGAACTAGCAAAAAAACCAGAAACTCTTGTAGAGGACATAAAGTCAGAGATAGAAAAGACAAGGAGCAGGTGCATCTAGTACAGGTAGAGCTGCTGCAAAAATCCACAGAGCCCAGCAGCCAGCGCAACAAATTCTGGATCCTTTGCTTTTAGTTAGCAGTTAGCATTAGCAGCACATCCTGCGTCTGATGTGAAAGGACTTTTATGCTGCGCACTGTGACTCACAGCCATGGTCCTGGGTCAGCCCTGACTTTGTGTTAAACTAATCCTAAAGTAATAATGGTATTTCTAACCACTGATATACCACAACTTTATCCTTTCAACAGCTACTGAAAGTTAGGGGACCTAACTGCTATCGGATATTTATATAGCGATCCTCCAGCTTCAAACTGTATTACCCTTCAAGGACCTGCAGTTCAAAAAAGCGCCCCTCTGACAGCCAAACCCATCTGTTCTCTGATGGGATTGTTACATTTGTGATTGACATGACATTGACCAATCAGATGAAAGGAAGAAAAATAGGGTCAAAATTCGTACTTGTAACTTGCAGGG